CAGGTTTTTAAAAGAAAACTTGAGCCGTATTTTTTTTTTTATTTTTTGTACATTTGGAAAGCTGTAGAAAGGGTTTTGAAAAAAGTCGCACTTATGCTGAAGGAGTAGAAGAAGTATTTACTGCCAAGTCCCGGGAAAAATTGCAGTACTGGCGTGAGAAGGTTATATATCCTTCAAAATCTTGCTATATATATATATATATATATATATATATATATATATATAATATATATATATATATATATATATATATATATATATATAAACAAAAGCTGTTTGATAAACCAAAAAGTTGTAAGGATTTTGGGGACGACCACAAACAAAAATACGCACTCTTAAGCACAGCACCTATATATATATATATATATATATATATATATATATATATAATATATATATATATATATATATATATATATATATATATAAACTATATATATATATATATATATATATATATATATATATATTGAGTTCGCAGGCTTTTAGATTATATCAGAAATGTTTTGAAAATTAAAATTCATTAGGGGAAAGGTGCATAAATATGTAATAGAAGTTATGCTGTTATGCTTGAGACATAGAACGTCAATTCGAATTGTTGTCTAGAAGTTTTGGACAAAGAAAATTTTGCTGAGATTTCTAGAGTTATGAATCAAAACGTCACCCCTATTTTGATAGTAATAAGGAGCATTTAGGTTGTTTTGTTAGAGAGCAAAGCTGTGGTATACTGGAAGTTTGGGTTTGGTCATTGATCTTCAGAACTTCATGTTTTATGGGATTTTTCAGGTTTTTAGGTGAGTGTTTGCATGGTCTTAGTGTGTCACCAACAGTTTATGACTGCACCTGTTTTAATTAACTGTTTTAAAGTAAGTTAGGAAAATAGTGTTAGCAAGATTTCTGTAGTCAAGAATATTCATTACCAATTTTAGCAATTTTTTATAAATTGTGTTTGAAATGCGAGTCTGTTTTAAGGGTGTGCATCATTAGTTTCCCATTTTCAGGGATTGGGAAGCCATGTTTGGAGGATTGGGAGAGGAGAGGGGGGCTATTAAAACAGAAACTCTATTATCATTCGTCGTTTTAGTTTTTGTTCGGTGGCTGTGAATTCTGTGCCCATAATCCCAGCTGGTTTTCACATTGATGCTTACTGCATCACTTTTTTTTGTAAAATTTATTTAAGGCACATCCTTTTTTTGCTGCTTATGGTGATGCTTGAACGGATTTTATTGTTGAAGTGGTCCTGACGCTAGCGAAGCAAACAGCTCTCGGAGTTTAAAGAATTGTGAGGCGGTTTGTAAGTTCTTGCTTCATCCCGTGCTTATGTGCGTTAGTTGCAATAAGGAGGAGAGAAAGTGTGGATAGAAGTAGCGGTAAATCTAGTTTCATTATTCGGATCAAAAAGAATCAAGGGGTTATTTTTACTAAGTCATCATTTTCTAGAGTTTTGTACTGTATAAGGTATGAAGACATCAGCACTCTTGGTTCTCATTGTTTCACACGTCTTCTCGTGCAGTATGTTCTGACCTTTTTTTTGCAATTTAAGTGCATGAAAAATGAGATTTCTTATAACTGACATGTAGAATTAGGAAAGTTTCAAAAATTCAACTGTTTGCATCAGCAGAATAACTCTGATTTTTACGGCAAGCTTTTGATGCCTAAGTTCGACTGCAGAAGTCGCCGATCCCTCGTAGTTGGTGGAGGCTGACTCAGCAGAAGAGCAGTGAGCATTAGAGGTGAGACGTCAAGTGCAAAAGATCGGATGCCGTGAGCGGGACGTTACAGAAAATTAGCCTCTCCACTGCAACTAATGCTCTTAAACTCGGAGAGTGACAGGGCGCAAAAGCTAAGAAATTTTTTACTCCTGGAGGCTAAGGCTCTAATGTTGCTAGCTTCGTTGACTGTCACAACACTAATACCCACTGAAGAAACTTATTGGTCTGCGTCCACTTTAAACGATAAGCTTAACACTGAGAAAAGTATAGCATTTTAGAACGGAAGCGTACTAGTAAATGTAGAAGCGCCACCCAGAAGACTTTCCGCTATTCCCAGAAAATTAGTTCTTCACCTTTGAGGTTAAAAAACTTTGTTTCTGGGCGATAGCAAGCCATTCCATTCCGTGGTATTTTTAACTTTTCAAAAAACCCGCTTTAGCTACAGAACCACAAAAAATTTTTCATTTTCATGCTGTACTTGCTGCCTAGCAACTGTTTTCTGAATATTGTATTACAGGTCTTCTGTCCATCGTGCAACGAAAAACTCGGTAACTACGTTTGGGGCGGGCGCATTTGTCTTGGCGCAGATGGGAAGTCGTGTGGCACAGCAGGTCACTTTAACCTGACTTTACTTTCAGTGTTGGAAGCAGACTTTTCAGTCGTGCAGGAATCTAGAAAACTACTTTTTTTCCGACGAATATGCTGAGCACAATAACGAATTTAGT